TCACGATATTTAAGAAAAAACATTTAAGTCTGTAAATGACGATAATCGCCCCAACGTAGCCGACAAAATCAGCGCAGGCCCGTGAAACATAGTTTCAACAGCGGCACGTAGTTCTTGTGCATGCAGTGCACGAAAGCAGAATCGAAGGCTTTGAGTCGGTGACACTGATGATGAATGGTGGTAATGATACCAGTGCCGAATGAGTTGGTCTCGTTTGACGAGTAAATCAATGACCCCTTAGAACATATTCATATTATGCACTTATTCCTTCATGCACTTTGTTCGGACTGAGATCACGGGTTCCGTCTAGTTCCACTCGTGAGCGCTGACCATTATGTCCACCCTCACGGTAGTGTAAGGAGAAAATGATTGAATGGGTATGAGTGCACAGACACGCACGAAAGACAAAGATCCCCCATATAGCCTTACCAGACTGTTGAGGCAAGTGCTGTTAGCGAGCACCTATGAAGGCCGGCACTGTGGCACACGAGGTGGTGGGTGGACAGCACCACGCCCGGCCGCCTTTGTCTCCGAAGTTGAGATGTTGACACACCGCACCAGGTATTCACTTGAGGCTGAGTCGATCTAGGGGAGGCCCAGGACTGGTTCAGATAATCGTCACTGGTGTTGGCTGTAGCGCGCTAACCGCTACGCCGCCACTCCCCACACACACACACACTGTGAAGAAAGGTGGAGTATATATATGTGTATAGGCTTCTACAACAAAGGAGAGAAGCATTAAAATTGCCTCAAGGCTACAGGAGGAAAATAAAATATATAAGGTGTAGGTCATGTGAGATGTATCACAATATAGATTAAAATACTAACAATGCTACGGATGTAGGTCACATGAGAAATTCCATGGTTAAATACCATAATTAAACAACACAATGTGAACAATATGTGGACACAATTGCAGCTGGAAATATATGGAAGCTTTTTCAGTTCACCTTTTACTTGAGGCAGTTTTTTTTTAAATTAATGACTGTGTTCATTTATTAAAAATCCGCTGTTATGAAGCATTCATCATCTGAAGGTGAGGTGCAATGCTTTGTTATGGCGGAGAATTATTTGCAAGTTTGGAATTTTCCGGCATAAATTCCCATCACACCTCCTACCCCCAAACTTGCACGCCGTGGCAGAGATTTGTGGCAGACAGCTCGCGCATGCTGCGTCGCCATGACCACTTCGTTTAGCATGGCTGGCTACGTTACGGCGCGAAAGAAATTCAACATATCGAAGCCAGGCTGACCTGATTCGTGAATCAGGCAAGAATTTCCACGGCAACCTCACCAGACCAAGCGAGCTGTAACCGGGACGTGCGGCCTGCTTCTACCGCGGCCAATGAGCTTCCAGCTTTGAGGCGGGCCGCCCCTTGCGAAGGGTCGCGAGGTCACGGACGCGACGGGTCCCATCAATGGCTCGTCTCGCATAATTAGTCATCTTCGTGGTCGTCTTTAAACATATAAATATCACCAACAACAGATACTAGCTTGAAATAATGTGAGCTAACCCAATAACGCGTAAAGCCCTGTTGTCTTATTTTAAAGCGGTGACTTTACACCTGTCACTGCCAGAGAGAGAAGGTTTTGGGGAGAGGTGGAACCTGGTCTGTTCCAGGCAGGCATTAACATCTGAATGGGCTTGAAGCGGACCAAGACCTCGATACGTTTCCACACACAGCACATTGTAGAAACAAGTTCTGGCCAGTGCTTGTTTGAAAGTGGGGGAACCCTTGACTCCGTTAAAATAAATAACAATACAACACTTTTTTTCTTCTTGGTTCTTTCGGTAAAGTCACGTAGAAGGAAAATAAAATAATAATAAATAAATATTTTTTTATTTTTTTTATTTTTTTCCTTCTACGTGACTTTACTGAAAGAAGCAAGAAGATGAATCCCTGCAGTCACGAAAGCTTTAAATCGAAATACAACACTTGGCTGGGTATTATGCACTCTCCTTATTGGTCTTCAAGTCAAGGCCTCGCTATCCATTCACTCAATTTGCAACTTCAGGTTATGCATTGTTATATTGGCTGTTCTTGCTTGGTACCTACAGAAGCACAGCCTAAAGGCTTCTCCACTGCTGTCTGTGATCATGACGAGCTCAAGACCAGAGTCACTCCAACAAGATCTGTCTTTCCTGGAAGCCAGAACAGACCATTAAGTGTGGGCCTTACATCGTGCTTGTAAGTGGGTGGGTGTCATCGCATGACCAAAGGCGTGAGAAGCAGACTGGTTTAGGGTGACCTTAAACCGGGCGTGGTGAATGGGGAGCATTGGTTGCAATTACCCTCTGGACAGGTATCAATGTGTAACTGACTCGAGCTGCAAAGCTGCGTGTGGGTTGTTGAGAGGGGGCGTCCATCACGGGCGTCCCACCTGTCAAATCCAACAGTTAATAAATTCACTCTCGTGTGGCCGTGTTTTTTTTTCTCAAAATCAGCCGGGTTTCGGCCGCGCACTGTGAATCCGCGCGAGCGGAGAGGGAATGAGCACAACTCATTCCCATCATGGTCCAGTAGCGCTCCGCTCCGGGCCACGCGAACGCATCTATCGCCAGGGGCTGCAGTGTCATCACAAACACCGTGGGGCCGTCGGGCGGCGAGGATGAGCAATACCCGGCTTGGTCGACCAGACAGACATCGTGTTCCAATGTCACCCCAGCCGCTCACGCTCACCGAGCAATTAAACACACGGTGCTTAGTGCCCGACTTGAACAAGAAAAAAAACAAGCAAAACATTACGTGTTAGACTGATGAACCTCTGTGCAGTCGGCAGCTTGGAATTGCTCATTTGTGATCGTTATTATAATGGGCACATGTGTCTGCTACTTTATTATGCAGCGCAGCATAACGCCCGCTCACTCCCTTTCTCTTACCGCTTTACCCTTCTCTCCCGTAATTGCAGGTAATTTTCAACGATATCAACTTGGACTAGGCCGCTCTCACCAATTGGCATTCCCCTGCGAGCAATGCCCACTATGTCTATAACATCTGCTTTGGCTCAGTCGATGAACAACATCTAGTCTCACACTGGCTAACAGGACAATGAGTCCACGGCTTTGATTTGACCCGCTGGACTCTTGCACAGCTTCACGCTCAAGAACGACAAATCCAAGCTCGAACACGTGAACTCATCGATCTTGGCAAACGCATATCTGGGCATGGGAAACAAGTTTGGATGTTAGACACGCTTCGTGGGAAGACAGTAGAGTCGGACATTTGATGCGTGCGATATTTAACAAAGGCACTGTGGGGCTTTGCTGTGGATACGGTGGATTGCGTGCGCACCGACACGGTGTGGTGGTGGTGGCGGGTCCACAGTGAGCTGGCAGCGCACAAGCGAAGTCCGCTGTCCCGAACGTGTTAATGATCATTATCATTAAAACAGTTGTGGCCTCGTGGTTCGGGGGAGATAAAAATATATGTATACCCTCGGCAAATTTGACTCTCTCCGACTTGAGACATTAAAATTATGCAGACTTTGGGAGTGCCCAATGCAATGATCGCACAATGTGCTTAGATAAATGTAAGTTTGTGTGTGTGTGTGTGGTATATACCTAAATGTTAACTGATTGTTTGTGAAAGTTTGGTACGTAAGCGCCTTCCCACGCCAACTCGGCAGGGGGACTTTCATCTAAAACACATGCCTAGCAAAAAGGGCAATGTGTTCATTTTGTCATCTCCAAAATTGACTGTTACATTGGCACACAGTGACCTGTTGTTGCAAATGATGCCGCTGTATCTCTTCAGATGACATTTCGCATCCCGTACCTTTCTTTCGGCGAGGCCATAAAGCATTCACAGGAAGAAGTGCGGTTTGACCCAGCACACCACTGCAATTTTGCACAACAGTAACTATCGCGTTGACCGATAGATTGTATAGATTTCAGAACCAAAATATGGGTACCCACGTGTGTGCATGTTGGTGCGTGCGTTTGTCGGGAGCGGTGGCACAGTGGTTAGCGCACTACGCTACAAACCCGGCGACCCGCTCACGGCCAACACTTTCTGAACTGTTACGGGGCGTTCTCTAGGTCGACTCGGCCTCAAGTGAATATCTAGTGCGGTGTGTAAACATCAGCATTGGGGAGACAAAGGCGGCTGGGCGTGGTGCCGTGCCGGCCTTCATAGGTGCTCGCTAACAGCACTTACCCCAACAGTCTGTTACAGGCTATACGGGGGATCTTAGTCATTGTCGTCTTGTGTAATTGCCGCTTGCGCGGTGGGGGGGCCCCCATGAGGCTGCCGCTTTTAAGCTCAACTTTAATCCCGTAACTCGGAGCAGTTACGGGACTCGCCCCGCCGTTGTGATGAGGTCAACCTTCACAGCGACGGTGTCAGTGCTTCGATTGGGGACACTTACCTTTTGAAGAGAGGTCCCAGGCAATATAGCGTCACGTTTAAACGCGCGCAGTGCTGCCCAGCGCCCGCCATCTGTTTCGTGAGAACGGCAGGGCGCTTACAAAGACGTCCGGGCCGCAACGACACCAAGCCGGCCACGTTCTGATGTTGACGCAGCCACACCAGGACCTCATTTATGGGCGAGGCGACCCGAGAGAGGCACGCGCCAGTTTCGTGTTACTATTTCCACTGGTGTCGTGCAATGCCGGGGACTCAAACCGAGTCTCTCCCGGTCTGTGGTGCATTGCACTCACCACTTTGCCACCACACCTTCGATTAGCACTGTTGGCTAACGTACGGTGCAAAAGAAGTTCTGCATACACACACTGTGTACACGTCGATACGTGTGCGTGCACGCGTGCGTTGGTGATTGACAAATGACAACAGAGTAAATTGGAACATTAAAGTAACATTGGGAGAAGGCTTTTTGCAGCATGTGAGTGGGGCGTGTGCATTTTGTGTGGTTATGTGACGATTATTTTGTTATCAGTGTACTTGGAGTGCATTGCCCTATTTGAGTCGTCTAAGTCAATATCAAACCATCACCTTCTAACCCCCCCGCCCCCCGGCCCCCGCCCGTGTCTCTGTTTTGCAGAAAGCAGACGATAAGGAGAAACGGCTCGAGGCTCACCGATTCCACTTTGATGCCATGTAGACGCAGCGGCGACGTGCACACTCACCACGAACGCACTTCACGACACTCCCCACGCGTCACCCGTGTCACTTGCTCCAACCGTTGCGGCAGGTTTCTGGGGTGGCAGGTGACAACGTTCGGCCCCGTTCGCTGCTCGGTTTCAGGCTGGCTCAACCTAAGGGAGACCCAAAGCCAGGTCTAGACACCCCCCCCCTAACAGCTGCACCGCCGCTCCCCACGTAACCCACACAAACGCACGCAATTAGTAGCGCGCACACGCACACACACACATTCATCACAACTGCACCCCTCGATTGTTGTTTTAATACGTTACAATTGGTGACAGGGCGGGGGGGGGGGGGTCCTATTCATTTTGTTTCTTCTTTAATCCTCGAACCTCATCAGCTCACCCAACGGCCTCTGCTCGAACCCCCCCCCCCCCCCCAAGTGAGCGGGTGCCCCATGGGTGACCTCGACGCCTCTCGATTGAGTGGACCGGTGGGGAGGGAGCGGAGGGGACGGGGGGTGCCGCACTCCACGCCGACGCGCGACCAGAGGTCGCAACCGGGTACCCGATACCCGTACCCTACCCGATACCCGGCTACCCGTACCCAGCCGGGTACGGGTACGGGTACCCGTTTGCGACCCTGGTGCGGCCGGGTACGGATACGGGTAGACCGTGAGTCACTGGTGAGTCACCGTTTGTCACTCATTTCCCAACGTCTTGTCTCTTCTCACAATTCAAGTTCCTAAAATCAACCCACCTGCGCCTGCAACATGGCTTCATCCCAGAGGTCGCAATCAGGTACCCTGATACCCGTACCCTACCCGTACCCGGCCGGGTACGGGTAGGGTACGGGTACGGCCGGGTACGGGTACGGGTACCCGTTTGCGACCCTGGTGCGGCCGGGTACGGGTAAGGAATCAAAACCCGTTTGCGATCTCTGCGCGCGACCCGGCTCGGCGCGCCAAACTGCCCGCGGCACCGCGATCCGTCGCCGTCGACGTGAATCGTGCGATGCACGTGACGCGACGGCCGAGCCCGCCGGCCGTCGCCTGCCCCCTTAACACCGAGAGAGCATCGAAATGCGCTTGCATGGACCCACGAGCGTTATCGGGGCACCTTGATTTATCAAAGGTGAAGAATCCCCTCCCCGATATAGCCTTAACAGATTTTTTTGGGGCGAGTGCTGTTCGCGAGCACCTATGAAGTCCGGCACGTTACACGAGGGGGTGGGTGGACGGCACCACGCCCGAACGCCTTTGTCTCCCCAGTCACGATGTTTACACAACGCACCAGGTACTCATTTGAGGCTGAGCCGACCTACGGGAGGTCCAGGACCGGTTCAGATCATCGTTACCGGTGGTGGCTGTGTCGCCGGGTTCGTAGTGCAGCGCGTTCGGCACCCACCGCGCCCAGCCACCTTATATCGCACACGCAAACACACGTATGCGACGTGCACATGCATGGGCTGATTCAATACTCGTTCAGTGTTCATTATAACGTGGGCTAGGGCTGTTGTGGGATCACGCATTTACTTGTAAGATGGGTTCTTTAAACGGAGTTATTTGAAGAAATGTCGGCAGTTCAACAAATTAGGCACCCTCGCTGTTTGTGCAAAGGCAGTTAATTATCAAATTTTACTGAATAGGGGTCATTGATGACAAGTCAATGGTTTGAAGCAGATATGAAACTCAGCTTAAAAAGGTTAAATATAATTATCTCTGCATTGGACAGCATGGTATTTTATGAGCAATTAAGAAAACATTTTGACAGTTTATTTCCGTATATGCCCAAGTAAAAATCCACTTCACTTACACGAATGGTGTGCCATTGCTTTGTGGCAGCAGTGGTAATAACACGGGAGCCTCAACGAAAACGTTTCCTGAGTTCGATTCTCAGCTCGGGTGCCGTTCTGTGTGGAGTTTTGTCCGTCCCCCACCTGTTCTGCATCACTCCCTCCGGCCTCTCCTCCGGTGTAACGCCTGTCCCATGCCAAATCGGTTTTGTTCAAGCATCCCAATGCCGAAAATTTCGACCTGCGCATTTCAGCGCTGTCCTCAATTGCAATTACACGCAGCTGTGACTGCGCCCCCTACTGTGGCAGCCTGGCAGAACCTTCTTGAAGAAGTGTCCAGACTCGGTGAGGATTTCCTGGGTGAACGAGCATAAATACGTAACGCGAAGCAAATCTACTGTTTGAAATATACGCCCCGAATCGTGGAATGTGGCAATGTATTGGCGAGAGAAAGGGATGTATCTTCTTGGTTCTTTCGGTAAAGTCACCGAAAGAACCAAGAAGATGAATCCCTGCAGTCACGAAAGCTTTAAATAGAAAGGGATGTGTTGACTGGATGGCATTGCTTGTTATTCCTGAGTAAGGCAAGGCCATTGGAATCTATGGGGTTTCTTTTCTTGTGGGTACCATTAATCCTTTTGTGTTTTGGAATGTACGCATGT